TATATATATATATATAAAATGTTAGATATTCAAAATAACATTTCAAGGATGTTAAACTACTCCGTTTTGTATGAGGAAACTACGGCTCAGAAAGAAATGTGCCTAAGCCCACTCAGTTAGTAGGAGAGGTGGGTGGGGTTGGTTTCAGCATTTGATTTACTCTAAATCCTTGCTCTTCTCTCCACTCCTTCCATCCTTGGGAAGCCCACAGTCAGCCCACAAGCTCTGGCCGACCTTGGTTTGTGAGCCCACTGTGGAGGCCCACCTAACAAAAGTCACCGGACAGGACTGTCAACGAGAGTGCTTGCACCACAGCCCTCGACTCAGTCCTCTGGCTTAAAGCACAGGCCAACAGGGAAGAGCAGGGAAGAGGCCAGGCTCCCCTCTTCCTCTCTCTCAGAGCTCGGGTTGCCTTGCATTGAGAGGCCACCGTCCTTCTCAGAGGTTGGAGAAAATCGTTCTCTGAGCCTCTGAGCCCTGCCCTATCTCTAAGCCCTATGGGACACAGAATGTTGGTACCTGATAGACTGACCAGCAGGGAGCTTTAACCTCACTTCTCTGAACTGTAGCCAAACCCCAGGGACTCCTGAACACCAAGAACAGGACAATGTCCAGTTGACCATCCAGGCTGTGTGTGCAGCATTACCCAGTAGCCCCTTGGAAAGCCCCACACCACACCCCCAACCTGAAACTGCCAGCCCTGGATTCCTAGATGGGATCAGGACCCCTGCTTGATACTCAGATCCCAGACCCCAAACGCAAATGTGGCTAAAAAGCAGTCCTGGCAAAATCCCCCGGGGCAAAGTGAGCTCTTCTCTCACCTCCCACCTTCTCCCAGTGGGCTGCTGTCCTCTGGCTTCTGGGTAGGAGACCCCCTGTTGCCCAGGCCACATCCCCTCGATCTGTTGTCATTTCACATTTTCAGGCACGTAGGTTTGGTTTGCTTGGCTCTTTTAAACATCACGCTTTATGGCCTCTCGCAGGATAATTTTGTTCCCGTCTTGCCATTCCATTTGAATTAAATATCAAACAGATGTGAGTCATTTTTTTGCTCTTTTTAAAGAAAAAGTTTAATATTAGGGAGCATGCCCTCCTATAAGATTAGGAAAGTCATTCAGAGAAATAAGCCCCTTCAAATTAAAAAAGAATCGCATTGGTTAACATTAAGATGCTTTCAAGTGATACATTTCGAAGTGCTAAGGGAAGGTGTTTCCAGCAAGCTATAAAGCAGCCGGGAGAAAGCTGGGGAAGATATATGGCCCAAGGCGAATGGGGAAATTGGAGCTCTGAGAAGGGGCAACCCCATCTGGGAGGAAGCTCTGAGCTTGGAGATGAGGTTCACAGATGACATTGGGGGAGGCCATCTTCCCCAAAGGCCTAAGGCCCCTGCTCTCTGCAGCCTGTGTGGTCAGGCTGGGAGGGAGGCAGGAGGAGCTCTACTCCACTCAGGAGCTGACATGGCCTGTGTACCCATTCCCCGTCCTCAGAAGCTTGCAGCAGCTTGGCCTATCTCTCACAGCCAGCCATGCTAGAGTGCGTTTGTACATCTGGACAGGCTAACCCTAACCCCGACCCTAACCCTGGCCATTCTGAATAGCTCATGCTTAATCCACTCCTTCCTGCTACAGTAGTGTCTTAGATAGTGGGGTCTTTGGCCTTTTGTGGGTCTTGATGTCTCAGAAAATGCAGAGAAAGTCATGCTCCTCTTTGCACATAGGAATATGCACAACTTGCACACAGCCTCAGAGCCCGATTTAGAAACACAACCCATATTAACCAGAGTGCAAACCACTTCAGAACCAAGATACTCAATACGT